CTCACGCTCCCTGGAAGCGGGGAGGAAGCGAACGCCCCCCAGCAGGCTGCAAACGCCTCCAGGCAGTGACCAAGGTGCCACGCAGGGTGCAAGGAAGTGACAGCCAGGAGGAAGCACTTGGGACACCCGCTCCGGCTGGGACACTCGCAGAGGCTCCGGGGCACAGGGTGCTTTGTGTATGACCGTGGGGAAAAGATCTCCTGGGAAGGAGGAAGCTGGACAATGCGGATTTTCCTTGTTTTGGCCCTTTTCTCAGGTGAGGAGCCCAGCTCGGTTCCCTCCCAACCCCACTGGCCATCCCTGCCCCAGGGCGCAGGACTCAGCCCTGCCCTGTCCCCGCAGGCGCCGGCGCTGCGATGGTGACGGGCCCCGCGCGGGTTCACGGCAAGCCCGGCGCGTCCGTCTCCGTGTCCTGCAGGTACAAGGTGGGCTATGAGCTCTACCCCAAGTGCTGGTGCAGATGGGTCATCTTCTGCTTCTGCATCACACCCATCATCTGCACCAATGACACGGAGAGCTGGGTGACGAAAGGCCGGGTGTCCATCAAGGACAACCGCAGGTCTCACACCTTCACGGTGACACTGTGGGACTTGGTGCCGGCCGACACGGGTCGGTACTGCTGCAAGGTGGCCCAGCTGCGGTGGTTCAACCTGTGGCACGCCACGAGGCTCGTCGTCTCGGCAGGTAGCACCGGCGTGAAGGAGGTGGACAAGGAGCAGCCGGAGCATGTCGGCAGCCTGTCCTTGGGTGGCTCTGTCCCCTTCCAGGAAAAGCCCCTTTCCCCCTTACCCCTTGCGCTCCCCGCCTGGCTCTGACCCTTTGCTTCCTTGCAGCCATTCCGCACATGATGGAACCCAGCAGCCAGGCAATGGGGCCACAGCCCGGGGACACGGTCCCCCCTGCGCCCTCCTCTCCACTCCCCACGGGCTTCGCGGAGCCTCCAGCGCTGTGAGTCAGGGTGGAGGGTGCAGACGGACACATCCCGAACCCAAGAGCCTCCCGAGGGGCAGAGCAGCACCCTGGTTCACACCCGCGTTGCCCAGAGGTGACCTGAGAAGCCTGCATGGCTCTTCCCTCCTAACGTCCATGGGGACCTCCAAAAGGCTGTGGGCACTGTGCAGGGCTGGGTCTCACCCCGCTTTTCTGATCCCCCCTTCTCATCAATGGATGCTCCAGCTTCTCCATCCTTTCTCCCAGGTCCCAGTTCAGCATCACCTGCTTGTTGCTCTTCCTCGGCGCCAAGTTGCTCGTGGTGCTGGTCTTGGCTTGCTGGGGCTGGCACAGGAGCCGCAGCCCCCGGGCGTCCCCGCAGAGGGACACCGGGACCAGCAGCACCGGGGCGGCCCCGCTGC